AAAATTAAACACAAGATCGAAAAAGAAGAAGGAGGATGCAAACTCAAGAGGTTTTACAAAAGTAAGATAATTAGTATCATACCTTTTTCTTGAAGTCTTGGAGGATCTTCAACATTGAGAAAGAATTGCACGAAGGTGAAATAAACTAGAGAGCGTTTGGTTTATAGAAAGAGAGAATGGGCTGGCCAACAAGGCTCAAGCAAAATAAAACCTTTATTTTCCCAAAAGAATAAGCCCACTAAAACCTTTACCCAAAAATAAAATGGCTTTATAAAACCGAAAACTCCATTTTTTTGATAAAACAAGTGGACATTCAAATGGAACTTTTGCAATTTAATTTATGGAAAACTCATAACATCAACTTTATTTTTATCTAGAGCATTTTCAAAAATAGTTGGCATTGCATAAAATAACTTTATCTGATCTCCTACCAAAGCGCGACCTTCCCAACAAAATTTGGGAGCTAATACCAGAAAGGTTGTAATCACTTAAGACTAGATCCTAGAGAAATATAATTTCTAATTATAGGATCTGCAATGAGGTGCTAACCTGAAGCTCAGAAGTGACGAGATGTCACAGTCTCCCCTTGTCAGAGAAATTTCGTCCCGAAATTTATTTGTCTACTCCAAATCAAGGCTTGTTAGGGAACTAATGTGGATACTTGCTTCTCATGGAATCTTCTCTTTCCCACGTATATCCCGGTCCATGCCGCAAAGTCCAATGAACTTTTACAATTGGGATTTTGTTGTGTCTCAACTGCTTAACCTTACGGTCGAAGATTTCGATCGGCTCCTCAATGAAATGTTGTCGTTCATTAATTTGAATATCTTCCAGAGGTAGAACTAAAAACTCGTCGGCTAAACACTTCTTAAGATTCGACACATGAAATGTATCATGGATGGCACTAAACTTTGGGGGTAAGTTGAGTTTGTATGCAACTGGTCCTACTCTTTCGAGTATTTCGAATGGACCGACATACCTTGGACTAAGCTTTCCTTTCTTTTCGAAGCACACAACCCCTTTCCACGGTGATACTTTTAAAAGGACTTTATCACCCACTTGAAATTCCAAGGGTTTCCTTCGGTTATCKGCRTAGCTCTTYTGACGATCCCTTGCAGCTTTAWGTTTTTCTTSGATGATTGCGATTTTGTCGGTTGTCTCTTGGATAATGTCAGGCCTGGTCAGTTGCCTATCGCCAATTTCCTGCCAACTGAGTGGGGATCTACATTTTCGTCCATACAAGGCTTCAAAAGGTGAACATTGGATACTGGTGTGATAGCTATTATTGTAGGAAAATTCGACCAATGGCAGATGGGTATCCCAACTACCTCTGAAGTCTATCACACAGGCTCGCAACATATCCTCTAGTGTTTGAATTGTCCTCTCCATTTGTCCATCCATTTGAGGATGATATGAAGTGCTTAAATCCAATCTCGTGCCTAGTGCCCTTTGAACCGATTGCCATAACCTGGAAGTAAAGCGGCTGTCTCTATCTGAGATGATAGAAACAGGTACTCCATGCCGCAACACAATCTCATTGACATATAACTACGCCAGCCTTTCCGTACTGAAATCTTCTCGAATAGGCAAAAAGTGCATGGATTTCGTAAGTCGATCCACTATGACCCAAACTGAGTCATATCCCTTCCTTGTTCTTGGTAACTTTGTAACAAAATCCATTGATATCTGATCCCATTTCCATTGGGGAATCTCTGGTTGCTGAAGAAGACCAGATAGTTTCTGATGTTCAGCTTTTACTCTTGCACAGGTCATACACCGACTTACGTACAAGGCAACGTCTCTTTTCATTCCTGGCCACTAGTAATATTCTCTTATCCCTTTGTACATCTTATCGGATCCTGGGTGAATCGAATATTTGGAACGATGTGCTTCCTCCATAATTGTAGACCGGAGGCTATCGCTCCTTGGTATCCAAACTCTATCCTTGAAGTAACGCACTCCATCCGATCGGGTTTCGAATTCCTTCTCTAAGTGATCCAGGGTCTCATTCTTCAGATTCTGTGATTTCAACGCCTCATGTTGAGCTTCAAGAATTTGCGTTTTTAGGTTCGTTTGAACCAACATTCCCATGGCTCGTACCCTTGACGGTTTCACCCTTTCTTTCCGGCTTAAGGCGTCGGCTACCACGTTAGTTTTTCCTGAGTGATACTTTATTTCACAATCATAATCGTTGAGACGTTCGACCCACCTCTGTTGCCTCATGTTCAACATCTTTTGATTCAGAATATGTTGAAGGCTTTTATGATCAGTGAAAACGATGCATTTGATGCCGTAAAGATAGTGCCTCCAGATTTTCAGTGCGAACACCACTGCCCCCAACTCGAGGTCATGCGTAGTGTAATTCTTTTCATGCACTTTGAGTTGCCTTGAGGCATACGTAATGACTTTGTCTTTTTGCATTAGCATGCATCCTAAGCCTTGATGCGATGCATCATAGTAGACCACAAAATTTTTCGAACCCTCCGGTAGGGCTAAGATCGGTGCGTGACATAGCCTCTGCTTAAGAGTCTCAAACGCTTCTTCCTGTTTCTCACTCCAAACAAACTTCTGGTCCTTCTGGGTTAAGACAGTGAGTGGTTGCACAATTTTTGAGAAATTTGTAATGAATCTTTGGTAATAGCCTGCCAAACCAAGAAACTGTCGAATCTCTAATGGGGTTCTTGGGGCCTTCCAATTCTTAATGGCCTCGACCTTGGCAAGATCCACCTGAATCCCTCTTTCATTAACTATGTGCCCAAGAAATTGTACTTCCCGAATCCAAAATTCACACTTGGAAAATTTTGCGTACAATATCTGGCCCTAGAGTAGCTCCAATATTAACCTTAGGTGTTGTTCATGTTCCTCCTTACTTGGAGAATAGATCAGTATATCATCTATGAAAACAATTACGAATTTATCCAAGTAGGGTCTGCAGACTCTATTCATTAAATCCATAAAGACGGCCGGTACATTGGTTAGCCTAAATGGCATAACCATAAACTCGTATTGACAGTACCGGGTTTTGAAGGCTGTTTTCGGAATGTGCTCTTCCCGCACTCTCACTTGGTGATATCGAGACCGTAGGTCAATCTTGGAAAAGTATACTGCACCTTGGAGTTGATCGAACAGGTCATCGATTCGAGGAAGGGGGTATCTATTCTTGATGGTCAACTTATTAAGTTCCCTATAATCAATGCACATTCGCATTGACCCATCTTTCTTTTTGACGAATAGAATCGGCGCACCCCATGGTGAGTAACTTGGTCTCATAAATCCCATGTCTAAAAACTCCTGGAGTTTTTTTGACATTTCCTGCATCTCCGCACGTGCCAGACGATATGGTGCCTTTGCCACTAGGGCAGCCCCAGGGATCAAGTCGATACCGAATTCGACTTGTCTTTGCGGGGGTAACCCTGGTAAATCCTTGGGAAATACATCAGAAAACTCCTGAACTACAGGGACCACGCCGATATCTTCTTCCTTGCCCTTCCTATCAATAACATGCAATAGGAATGCAACATACTTCTTCCTCAAGTACCTCCGCATTTTTGTACTATCTTAGTTTTTCGATTCGACATGTCTCCTTGAATCTCTATTGGGTCATTTCCCTCTTGAGGAATCCGGATAACCTTTTCTGAACAGACAATTTCAGCTCGATTTTTGGATAGCCAATCCATGCCTACAACTATGTTGAAGCTTCCTAACCCAATAGGAATAAGGTCTATGCTAAACTCCTTATTAGCTAAACTTAGTGTACAATCCTTGATTATATTTCTAGCCCTAAATTCTTGGCCATTGGCAAACTCAACTACATAAGCTTCTTTCAGCCTCTAGGATTTTAGGTTAATCTTATGCTTAAAATCCAGGGATACAAAACTTCAATCCGCTCCCGAATCAAATAGAACTGACGCGAATTCATTATTCAAAAGGAACGTACCTGAGACCACATTGGGATCATCTCTAGCTTCTTTGGCCCCAATTTCAAACGCTCTGCCCCGTGTCTGACTCTCTGGGTTCCCTTGACTGATCGTTCAGGCTTGGCCTACATTGGCTCCATGTTTCCTTTTCGGGCAAACGTTCCTCTTGTGATCTGGACTTCCACAATCGAAGCACAATCGTTTCCAGCAATCCTTTGCTGTTTGACCCCCGAGATGGCACCTTTGACAAGTGATGTAGTTTCCCCAGTGTGGGTATTTGCATCTATTGCACTTGGCCTTGTCTCTTTGATTCACCGTCTGAGTCTGTGCTCCGAAATTTCCTATCGTTCTCCTATTTTTGTCATATTTTTGCATAGGTCTTCGATTTCCATACTCCTCCACCTTTCTTTTCCCCTTGGTGAATTCTCCTGAATGAACCGCGTTATTCGTGAGTTTGGTGGCAATATCGATGGCTTCTTTAAGGGTCTTCAGGTTGGCCGAGGTGATGTTTCCCCTAATTTCTAGTTACAACCACCAAATATACCTCTCAATGCGAACTTCCTTTGGTGAAACTAGGTGTGGCACTAGATTTGCCAACTCATGGAATCGAACCGTATACGCAGCTATATCATCCCCTTTCATTTTGTGATTCCATAACTCCATTTCTAGCTTCTGGAGTTCGCTTCTGGGGCAGTATTCGGCCTTGAGGAGTTTCTTGAACTCCTTCCATGGAAGTTGATTAGCCACTTCTCGACCTCTGGCCTGTACCAATGCATTCCACCAGGTGAGTGCCCTTCCTTGCAACAAAGAAGCCGCATATTCCACTTTGTTTATTTCAGAGCACTTGCTAATATAGAGGACAGATTCCATACTCTCTATCCATGTCAGTAATCCTGCAGCCCCTTCAGTCCCATGGAATTCTTTTGGATTGCAGGATCTGAACGACTTGTAAGTGCATTCTCTGGGTTTTCTAGGCTCAGGGTTTGATGATTGGTTCGCATTAAGCTTTGCCGCCACTTGACTGACAATGTTGGGTAGTGCGTCCAATAGTTGCTTTGACACAAGTCGTGCAACTTCGGGGTTCTCTCTTCTTGGTGGCATTTTCTATGGCCTAAATCAGAAGGGAGTTCATCATTAATATAGCAATACTTATGATGATATCTTCCAGTTATTCAATTTGATGTAAGGGGCATTCATCACATGGAGAGACATTCAAGCATTTATGTAACCACATAGCTTAAATTCATACACATTAAGGCTTGTCATAAATGAGCTCTTCTCAAAAAGATGTCATGTATTCGTAGATGATTATAATCACAAAAACAAAACCTCACATGTCTAAGCAAAAGAGTGGGTATCCTACCCCTAATTTTTATCCTAGAATAACATCCATCCTATTGCTATTCCCAACATCAATACCATCATTCCACAAACTACCAACCATCTATACAACTTCCTAATTTCCCGCCTGGCTGCGACAGCATCATCCGTGTTCCTTATTATGCTCTGGTGGTGTGCTTCCATCACATCGGACAGGTTGTTTAGGATGTGGTGGTGGTATCTCAGCCGGGTCTAGTGCATTTTGCGTATCTGATGCAATTCTCTGCACCCATTCTCGTTCAGCCAAGTTCATACCCTGGGCATAGGATGCAGGCACTCGAGTCACTATTTGAGATAGCCTATGTCCCTGCGGTGGTCGTGATGGCTTTCCTCTTACTCTAGAGGAATTCTCAAATGTCACTCGTCGAGGCAAGGGAACGCTCTTCCTTGGCGTGACTCTGATACTTGAGCCATGATAGGTTCGTGGTGGAACGTCGGGTGCTGGCTCTGATGGGGGAAAGAAAGATGCTGGTGGAGAGGCAGATGTTCCACTGGTTGCAGTGCCCTGCTCATACAGATATATCTCTTCATCATGGGCTAAGTTCCTTCTAGAGTGGCCAACCACGTAGCCGGATTCATCGACTGAGTATTCACTAGAATCGGATGACGCCATAGTGATCTGCGACATTAATAATCTTAATTACTAAATGCATCATCTATAAATGCTTAAAGATACAGCCAAAAATTCTAAACAAGGCTAAGAGTGGAAATCAAAGTAGACTCTCAAAATATAAAGCCTCTAGTTGTGCTACCAGAGTCTCTGGTTTCATGACCAGAGCTTCTGGTTCAACTAAAATCCTTAGCAAAGGATTTCTCATCCATCGGTCCTCTGGCAAATCAATGGAATTCTAATTTATCCTCCGCTAGTTCAACATCTACACTTAAAATAATTATGGAATTTTCGTCCATCGATCCTCTGGTTCCTCGTAACGCACTTACCAGAGCTTCTGGTTACAAGACCAGAGCCTCTGGTTCCATTTTCATACATAGAAAAATACTAAGCAACCTATCCATCGGTCTCTGGTTTCCTTCCCAACAATGCTTCTGGTGTATTTATGAAAAATAAATCTAAGGAATTCCCATTCCTTTGCCTCTGGTCCTTCTAACCAATGCTTCTAGTACCACATACACACTTTATAGCTTTATGGGATTTCTATCCTATTGCCTCTGGTACTTCTAACCAGAGCTTCTGGTGCCACTTAAACACTTAGAAATTTTATGAAATTTTTATCCCATTGCCTCTGGTACTTCTAACCAGAGCTTCTGGTGCCACTTAAACACTTAGAAATTTTATGAAATTTCTATCCCATTGCCTCTGGTCCTTCTATCCAGAGCTTCTAGTCCAACATGGACACTTAACAAGATAAGGGTTTTTCTACCCAACGTCTCTGGTCTTTCTAGGGCAATGGATATTCATAGTGAGTATAATGCATAAATTCGTGCTTTTCATAACAATTTCTTTATGGGAGCATATCTCTAGTACAGCCGATTAAGTTCTTCTTATTATATGTAAGTTAAACACAGGTGATCAGKCTCTGTTTAATCAACATATAATAATGTGACCCGCTTTCAATTCATATGATTCCAAATTCTTGAAAATTCCATTTTGAAAATTTTTGGTTATAGTCGATGGTTTCTTAAGGAAAACCAGCGTTCTCTATAACTGAAGCTCTGATACCAAATCTGTCACACCCYGCTAAAGCGGAAACGCGAGATGCAACAGRCAAGCGTGTCACAGCAACMATTAATAAATAACACCTTTAAGTTTTACAAAATAAAACTAGTTTAATAACATAACCAAAAATTTTATAAACCCTTTATTTACAAAACTTCCGACTCGAACTAAATCAGCTTTGCCACGAGTATGCTCCCATAGTACAACATATCTTACTTGCTTCCTGAAAAGCATGGAACATAAAATGAATTAAATACAAAGAGTTGGTGAGCTCACAGGTTTTCACATGCATAAAACATTTTAATGCATAAACCAAATATTTGCAAACTTATGGGAAACTTTTGCACTTGATAAATGTAAATCTTTCACGATGTAAAAACTTGAGACGCTACTGAGCCTTACCTGACCAACTTGCCCCATTAATTTACGAACGACCTTAAGTAGCC